TGGAGCGGCGGCTGTGTCAGCGACGACGACGATGCCGCCCGGCCCGCAGACCCGCCCGCCCCAGACCTTGAAGGACCCCAAGGTTGAGGGCGGGGCGCAGGGCAAGGCCGGGTACGGACGGAGGAAGGAGGGAAGAGGAGACCAGGGGGAAGAGACGGCGACTCGGGGGGAGCGCGGACAGCTTCAAGCCCGCGAGATTTTGGTCCGCTGTCCCCCCAATCCATGATTGGTTTCCCTCGTGTCTCTCGGGTCGGTTCCCTCCCCTCCCCTTCGTGCTTTAGCTGGCTCAAGCCTTTAGGCTCAGTGCCCGAGATGGATCTCTCTTCGCGCTGATATGATAACCTTCCCTCCTCACTCCTAGTCCCACCGCTCCCCATGTCCACCCACGGAGATGACACCCTTCGCGCGCCCCCCTTCCCCCCCCCCCCTCCCTTCCTTCGCGCCCCCCCTTCCTTCGCGCCCCCCTTCCTTCGCGCCCCCCCTCCCTTCGCGCGCCCCCCTCCCTTCGCGCCCCCCCCCTTCCTTCGCGCCCCCCCCCCTCTCTCTCTCCCTCCCTTCGCGCCCCCCCTCCCTCCCCCCTCCCCTCCCCTCCCGCCCTCCCGGCCCCCTCCATGCGGGCGGGGGGCGGGCTCGCGCGAGGAGAGACGGGGCGCCCAGAGGATCGACCCTCGCTCCCGGGGGGGGGGGATCCGAACCCTCTTCGCCCTCGGACCCGAGGGAGCCCCGAGGGGGCTCCGGCCCGAGGGGGTCCCGACCCTCCGCCCGACCCCTGGATTTCGGAACGGCGCCGCCCCGCCCCGACCCCTAAAGTATAGGCCACCCGCATCCTCCGACGCACCAGCCAGCGCACTCCGTCCTTCCCGCCGCGCCCCCTCCGCATCCCACCGCCCACCAGCCAGCGCGCCCCCTCCGCCCCGACCCGCTAATATCGGCGCGGCACCACCCCCTCCGCCCCGACCCTTGTATGTCGGCACGGCGCCGCCACCCCCCCCACATCCCGCAGGCCCCCCGCGCATCACCCCACCCACCATCCAGCGCGCCCCTCCGTCCCGATTTTTTGTTTCGGCACGGCACCGCCGCCCCAATCCCGAGCGCCCCCTCCATCACCCCATCCACCAACCAGCGCGCCCCTACCGCCCCGACCCCATTATTTCGGCATGGCGCTGGCACTCTCCCATCCCGCGCGTTCTCTCCGCATTCCCCCACCCATCAGCCAGAGCGCCCCTTCCGCCCCGATCTTGTCCTATTTCGACACGGCACCGCCCCCCCCCATCCCATCCCGCGCCCCTCGCGCCAGGACACCCCGCCGCCTCGTGTCTCCATGCGACGCCACCGGCGCGGCGGTTGCATTCGTTTGTCCCCATCCGGTTTTTCGTGGAACAACCTGGCCAGATAGGGTACGCATACCCTCTAGGATTACCATATCACCCTTGTGCCCCTTCCTTGTCCCTCACTCCTTTTGGCCCTCGCCCTTCCCCCGCTCAGCCCATCCATTGACCCTCCCTACCCGTTCCCTGTTACCTCCCGCGCCGCCGCTGATGCCGTCGCCGCCGCTGCCGCCGACGCAGCCGCCGCCGCCGCCGCCGCCGCCGCCGCCGTCGTCGTCGTCGTCGTCGCCGTCGTCGTTGTCGTCGTCGTCGTCGTCGTGGTCGTCGTCGTCGTCGTGGTCGTCGTCGTCGTCGTCGTCGTCGTCGTCGTGGTCGTTGTCGGTCACAGTCGGAGTCGCCGCCGCCATCGTCGTCGCCGCCGCCATCGTCGTCGCCATCGTCGTCGTCGTCGTTATCGTCGTTATCGTCGTCGTCGTCGTTGTCGTCGTCGCCGCCGTCGTCGCTGCCGTCGTCGCCGCCATCGTCGCCGTCGTCGCCGCCGTCGCCGCCGTCGCCGCCGCCGCGTCGTCGCTACCGTCGCCGCCGCCGCCGCCGCCGCCGCCGCCGCCGCCGTCGTCGTCGTCGTCGTCGTCGTCGTCGTCGTCGTCGTCGTCGTCGTCATCGTCGTCGTCGTCGTCGTCGTGGTCGTCGTCCGTCGCAGTCGGAGTCGCCGCCGCTGCCGTCGTCGCCCTTGCCATCGTCGTCGCCATCGTCGTCGTCGTCGTCATCGTCGCCGTCGCCATCGCCATCGTCGTCGCCGCCGTCGTCGCCGCCGCCGTCGTCGCTGCCGTCGTCGCCGCCGTCGTCGCCGTCGTCGCCGCCGTCGCCGCCGTCGTCGCCGCCGCCGTCGTCGCTGCCGTCGCCGCCGCCGCCGCCGCAGCCGCCGCCGTCGTCGTCGTCGTCGTCGTCGTCGTGGTCGTCGTCCGTCGCAGTCGGAGTCGCCGCCGCTGCCGTCGTCGCCGCCGCCATCGTCGTCGCCATCGTCGTCGTCGTTATCGTCGTCGTCGTCGTTGTCGTCGCCGCCGCCGTCGTCGTTGCCGTCGTCGCCGCCGTCGTCGCCGTCGTCGCCGCCGTCGCCGTCGTCGCCGCCGTCGTCGTCCCTCTCGGGGGCGCCGCTCCTGGGCGCCACGGTGCTGGCGAGCGAGACGGCTCGGGCTGCAAGTTTGTTTTACGGGGGAGGTCCTTTATTCAATCAAGGGCGTTAAAAACGCCCCTACCCTAGTTTGCGAGGCGCTGTTCCTGCGGGCTGACAGGGTAAACCCTGCATGTCGCGCGTGTCGCGCGGCGTCCTGGCGGCTCTCTGGCCTTCGGGAGCTCCCAGGAGGTTTGCGGACCACGCACTTGTAACCCAGGGTAGGGGCGTGTTTGTATCCCTCTATTCAATAGGCGCATACAAGTCCGCCAACCCCCAAGGATATACCCGACAGACTCTGTACGCAAAACGACTGCCCTGGACACGCGTTCTCCGTACAAGGCCGTGACATGCGGCATTCTGCACGGCGAGCATCCAGCAGCCAGGTCTGCTCCAGAATTTCTTGGGGCCCTCCTTGGACCTTGGGGGCTTCTGGGGAGCCTTTTCAATGCCTTTGCGGTTGCCCTGGGCCTTTTGAAACCTTTTGTGGGTTTCTTGGGTGTCTGTTGGAGGTCTCTTGGGAGTTGCAGGTCTTTGTCAAATGGCCTCAAAGACTTTTTGGGGCCATTTTGTGCGGAACGGCCCTTAGTGCCTCCTCAAGCTCCTCCTCTGATGCCCTTCTTGCGGCCCTCTCTAAGCCCTCCTTCTCCGATTTCTCGTCCCCTCTCCCTCCTCCTTCTCCCTGTGCAAGAGACATGGCACGCGTGCTACTTGTTTTCGCAAGATTGGTTGCTAGATGTTTGTATGTCGTACCGAAACCTTACCACAAACAGGGCTCCAAGACACTGAGCCAGCGATCCCGAGCCTTAACAAAGTTAGGGCACTTTCCGTCCCCTTGCCAAGCAAGTCGAATGGCTTTTGGCCCATCCAGCCACCTCGCCTGGGTTGTAGGTCAGAGGCCTCCACGAGGCTTGTGCGGGTCTTTTGGGAGGCCCATCGGATGACTTTTCAAGGCGGTTCAGGGGGTCTCCTGGGGCGTCTTGGGGGCCTCTTGGGGCCTGATTCGGGCCTCTCGGGGCATCTTGGGGCCTCTTGGGCGCACCTCGGGGGCTTCTTGGGGGACCTTGGGGCCATCTTGGGGCGGAGGGCTCAACAAAAACAGTTCGTGTTCCCCCTCTTGGGGCCGTCTGGGGAGCCTCTTGGGACCTGCTTAGGGTTCTTGGACCGTTTTGGGGCGGTCTCGCTTCTTGCGGCGTCTTAGACGCCCTGAAGGCCGCAAAGGCAGTAACGCGAAAACCACACAACCAAACACATTGGATTTTGACGATGTGGCCTCCTGGGCCGCCATCGAGGGACTTCAAGACTGCCCTCGACCCCAGAGGCGCCCAAGAGGGCTCCAGGACGGTTCCTGGGGCCACCTGCATCCATGTTGGACACGCATGTCCATCGGGGGCGGCAAAAGGGGGGGTGATGACTAGGGGGGGTGGATATCATGGCGGGGGCCATGATATTTCCCCAGATTTCACGGCGCATCTTCTTATTTCATTACGTCCTTGGCCCCCCCGCTGGGCCGCGCACATGCCGCCGGTCATGATTTGCACCCCCCCCTCTTGGACACCCCCCTCTTGGCCGCTCCCGAGCCCATTGCAACGCGCTCTTGGCCTTTGGAGAAACGCCGTCTGGGGCAGTTTTGGAGGCCTCTGGGGACGTCTTGGGAGCTTTTTGTGCCGTCTCGGCGCCCCCTTGCTGTCTTGGGGCGATATTTGGTGGCCTCTTGGGCCGTCTTGGAGCGTTCGGAAAAAACAAAAAGACAGAAACGCTGAAATCATTTGAAAACCAGCGGGATTTCAATGAATCTTACCCCCTGGAGGCCCTCTTGGAAGTACTTTTGGAGGCCTCTTTGGGGCGTCTTGGATGCCTCTTCGGCCGTCTGGAAGCCATCTTGAGCGTCTTGGAGCGAACTTTCACTCTGGGCCCTGTTCGACCGTGTGGGCGGCCTCCTGAGGTTTTCTTGGTCCGTTTTTGGGGCTCTCCTGGGCGAGGGGACGGTCCTGGACGCCCACGTGGGAAACACCAGCGGCGCCCAAGAGCGCCCAAGGGCGCTGGGGAAACAGGGGGCCTGGGCCCTTCAGAACCGTACGAGAACCTTACAAACCCTCTACTTATCAGGGATGCGTGAGCCTTGGAGCGCTCCGCGGCCTTCGGAAGGCACGGTGGCGGATGTGCACGCCAAGCGCCCAGTCTCGTCAGGCAGCTCAGGGACCCATTTCGGGAGGGGAGCGCCCCTCGCTCACTCACTCTTTCCTCCCCCCTCCCACCCTGTCGTTCTCGCAGCCGCCCCTCTGCCCATCTCTCCACCCCTCCCTCCCTTCCGATGGTGCAAGACACGATGGGTGGACGGGATGGGTGGGATGGGTGGGGAGGTATGATGTCAGGTATGGCGCAAGCGTGCCCAGCTTGTCCCCCGCCCCCCACCCCCTCCCCTCCCCCGCGCCTCTCCCCAGGGCGGTGGCGGGGGGGAGGCGCGGCAGTCCCGGAGCCCCCACCGCCACCGCCACCAGATGTGAGAAGCAGCCGCTGCCCGCCTCGCTGGCGGCCGGCACCGCGGCGCTCCGCGCTTCGGCCGCAGGCGCGGGGGAGGAGGGCGGGTTGGGAGCGAGCACCTCTCCTGGAAGGGAGGGAGCGGAGGGAGAGGGAGGGGAGGGGAGGGGGAGGGGAGGGGAGGGGAGGGGGGCAGGAGAGGGAGAGGGGCTGGGAAGGGGAGGGGACAGGAGGGGGAGAGGGGACAGGAAGAGAGGGGGGGGGGAGGAGGGAGGGGGATGTGGCCCGCTGTGAACCGCGTGGGCGGACACGAGCGTGGATGCGGAAGGAGGAGGAGGAGGAGGAGGCCAGGGCCCAAGCTTCGAGCCGAGGCGAGCCGAAGCTGATACGGCAGGATGATGAGCGCGAGTGCGGAGGAGGAGGGAGGAGGAGGAGGAGGAGGAGGCGGAGGAGGAGGAGGAGGAGGAGGAGCCAGAGGAGGAGGCGGAGGAGGAGGAGGAGGGAGGAGGAGGGAGGAGGAGGGAGGAGGGAGGAGGAGGAGGGTGAGGCGAAGGATGCAGGGTGGGGGACCACGAACTCAGGAATAATGATGATGATACTGATGCTGATGCTGATCCTGATGCCAATGCTGCTATGATGGTGATAATGATGATGCTGCTGATGATGATAATGATGATGATGACGATGACGACGATGACGATGACGACGATGAGGATGACGATGACGACGACGACGACGACGACGACGACGACGACGACGACGACGACGACGATGATGATGATGATGATGATGATGATGATGATAATGATGCTGATGCTGCTGCTGATGATGATGATGATAAACATGATGATGCTGATGACGATGATTATGATGATGATGGTGATGCTGATTTTGATGATGATGATGGATGATCAGGATGATTAGGACGATGATGATGACGGTGACGATGACGATGATGATGATCACGACGATGTCGACGACGATGTTGACGACGATGTTCATGATGATGATTTTAGTGGTGGTGATGAAGATGACGACGATGATGATACTGATGGTTATGATGATCACGATGCTGATGATGATGACGATGATGATGATGACGATGAGGAGGACGAGGAGGGTGGTGATGATGATGCTGATGCTGATGCTGCTGCTGATGCTGCTGCTGATGATGATGCTGCTGCTGATGATGATGGTGATGATGATGACGATGACGATCAGGATGGTAATGATGATGATGATGATGAACGCGGTGATGAGGATGATGATAAACATGATGATGATTAGGTTTTCCATGATGATGATGATGATGATGACGACGATGATATTGATGATCAGGATGATGATGACGACGATGATGATGATGACGAGGACGACGATGTTGACGACGATGTTGACGATGGAGATGGTGATGCTGCTGATGATGATGATGATCATCATGCTGGTGATGGTAATGACGGTGATGACGATGATGATGCTGATGGTTATCATGATGATGCTGATGATGATAATGATGATGACGATGATGACCATGATGAGGAGGATGAGGAGGAGGGAGGTGATGATGATGATGATGCTGATGCTGATGCTGCTGCTGATGATGATCATCATCATGATCATGATCATGACCATGATGATGATGATGTTGAAGCTGATGTTGATGCTGATGCAGATGCTGATGCTGACGATGGTGATGATGGTGATGTTGATGACGACGATGTTGACGACGATGTTGACGATGATGATAATGATGATGATGATGATGATGATGATGATGATGACGATGCTGACGATGATGAGGATGAGGATGAGGATGAGGATGAGGATGAGGATGAGGATGAGGATGAGGGTGATGATGATGATGATGATGATGACGATGATGATGATGATCTGAGTATGTCTGGGGGGCCAGCACTAGGTGGGGGCCAGCGAGTGTGGGGGCGCGTGCGGGGTGCGAGTGTGCAGTGCGAGTGTGAAGTGTGAGTGTGGGCCCAGAGTGTGATGGGCGGCCGTGCGCCCCAAATGGCCTGCTAGCTAGACATGCACGATCGCTGCCCCAGAGACATACGCAAATGATGATGCTTATGATGATGATGATGATGATGATGATGATGATGATGATGATGATGATGATGATGATGATGATGATGATGATGATGATGATGATGATGATGATGAGGGTGATGAGGGTGATGAGGATGATAATGATGAGGAGGAGGAGGAGGAGGTAGAAGAGGCGGAGGCTGATTCTTGTCCAGGCTGGAGGCGTGCGTTGCCCGTTGCCTCTCCCTCCGCACCCTCCCCCCGCGCTCCGCCCTCTGCCCCTCCAGTCCTGCCGCTCGGAGGGCGCCGGGTGTGCACTGACCACCGATCCTGGCCAGGCCCACCCTGTCAGAGCCCCCGAGTCATCAGGGGTAACTCGGGTTCCTTTTTCGGGAACCCGAACCCGAGTTACCCCGGACCCGAGTTACCCCGGATAACTCGGGCGTCCAGAGCCCCGAGTCATCAGGGGTAACTCGGGTCAGGGCTAACTCGGGTTCCTTTTTCGGGAATCCAAACCCGAGTTACCCCGGACCCGAGTTACCCCGGATAACTCGGGCGCCCAACCCTGGGTCCAGGGTCGGTGCACACGCCCTCCTGGCTTGGCCAGGGAGGCATAGGCACCGATCCTCGGCCCAGGAATGGGCCTGGACAGGAGCGGAGCATCGCTCTGCCCCTCTCATCCCTTGCTGACGCGGGGGTCAAGCCTCGTCCGCTCACTCGTCCTCGATTCCCGTCTCTGCCCGTGGAGGGCCCTCCGAGTCTCAGGCACGCGCGCGCGCGCCGCCGTGCCGCGTACAGAGGGCAGGATCGAGCAGCCGAAGACGACAGGCAGAGGCGACAGCAAGAACGGGCAGCGCGCTGGCTCGTGCAGGGGGCGGGGCAATGCTGGCTCGTCTCGCACGTCTTTCGCATCATGCATGCAGGTCGCACTGCTCTCATTTTCCATATCGTGCCCCGCCCGTTCACGGGCCAACCTTTTGGCCTCTGCCTGCCTCCTCTCCCCCTCCTTCGCCAGGCGGCGACTCGCCGACGGGCACCAACGCCCAGGCCAGCCGAGCAGGGAGGGGGCCGCCTCGGGCGGAGAGGGCAGCGGGCCCGAGCCCCTGCAGCAGGGCGCTCGCCGCTTTCTGCGGAGAGGAGGGGGCGGGGATGGGGCAAGGGGGGGGGGGGGAAGGGGGAGGGGTCGGCGGGAGGGCTTGCCAGACACCGCGCTGCCAGCAGCTCCACCTTGCAGCGGGAGAGGGGCAGACGGCGGGTTTCTACACTGCGCTGGCGTTTCGACGTCGCGGGCATGTTGCCAGCCGTGTATTATGGCTGCATGGATGGGTGGCCACGGTGGCCTTCTTCCGCTTCGTGCTTTCAGTTCTACGCTGCGATCACATCCAGGCAATGACCGCTGCAACGGTACATCGTCGAGCCTCAACGTGCTCGCTGCTTCGTAGTGCAAGGTCAAGGGATCTCACCATGGCACCCCTCCTTCTCTTCCTCTTCTTCCTCCTCCTCCCTCCCTCCTCCTCCTCCTCCTCCTCGTCCTCGTCCTCGTCCTCCTCCTCCTCCTCCTCCTCCTCGTCCTCCTCCTCCTCCTCGTCCTCCTCCTCCTCCTCCTCCTTCCTCGTCCTCCTCCTCCTCCTCCTTCTCCTTCCTCGTCCTCCTCCTCCTCCTCCTCCTCCTCCTCGTCCTCGTCCTTGCTTCCAGCCCTCCCATGCCACCCCCCGTGGCAGGGGCCGCCGGGCTCCAGCTTCTCCGGCCTTCTCGGGCCGCCGAGCCGTTGGCGCAGCGGCGCTGGTGCCGAGGGCACGCAGTACGTCACCACCCACCAAACCACCCCAACCCAACCCGAAGGCCCAAATTTATCCTCGATTTCCAGTGGGGGGGGGTCGGGGAACGTTGAAAAAACACATGGTATCCGTACCCCCCCCCCAACCCGAAATTCGGGTCAAATTCGGGTCTTCGGGTTGGGTTGGGGTGGTCTGGTAGGTAGTCAGTACGGGGGGGTCTGGCCCAGTGTGGCAGGGCTCGTTTCTATTCCTCCGATTCGATTCGATTCGACTTCGATGACGTCCGATTCCGATTCGATTCGACTTGGGATTCCGATTTGGGTTCCGATTTCTTATTGGAGGCACACTAGCCTGCCAATTTCAGCCGATTCGACTTTTCCCGATTCGGCTGCCGATTTCTGCCGGTCCGATTCATTTCGACTGCCGATCCGACTTGTCGATCCGATTCTGGGCTCTCCTGGTGTGGGGCTTGGGGACGGGCCCAGCCTGGGGCTGGCAGTTCCCTCTGCCAGGGGTCGTTCAGAGCGGCTCTCCTCTGTGGCCCCGCCTTTGCCCCTGCCCCACCTTGGTGCCCCCCCTAGGAGGGAGGGAGGGAGGGAGGGAGGGAGGGAGGGAGGGAGGGAGGGAGGGAGGGAGAGGAGGAGGATGATGAGGAGGAGGAGGAGGAGGAGGAGGAGGATCGCCCCCGGATCAGCGAGGAATCATTACTAGGAGCCGTGTGCGCGCACATAAGCAAATTATCCCAGCAAAGCAACCTAACAGCGATGTGTAGGAGCATATCTGGAAGCATTCCCCTCAAGATTCAAATGAGAACCCAGTTGTAGAATTCTGCTGTTCTCGCAGTCGTAGTCGCATTCGCGATGACAGTCGCAGCGGCAACGGCAGTCGCAGTCACAGCCTCAGCCTCAGCCTGCCTCAGCCTCAGCCTCAGCCTGCCTCAGCCTCAGCCTCAGCCTGCTTCAGCCTCAGCCTCAGTCTGCCTTCAGCCTCGGCCTCAGCCTCAGCCTGCCTCAGCCTCAGCCTGCATCAGCCTCAGCCTCAGCCTCAGCCTGCCTCAGCATCAGCCTGCCTCAGCCTCAGCCTCAGCCTGCCTCTGCCTCAGCCTCAGCCTGCTTCAGCCTCAGCCTCAGTCTGCCCGCCTCGGCCTCAGCCTCAGCCTCAGCCTGCCTCAGCCTCAGCCTCAGCCTCAGCCTGCCTCAGCCTCAGCCTCAGCCTCAGCCTCAGCCTCAGCCTGCCTCAGCCTCAGCCTCAGCCTGCTTCAGCCTCAGCCTCAGTCTGCCTTCAGCCTCGGCCTCAGCCTCAGCCTGCCTCAGCCTGAGCCTCAGCCTCAGCCTCAGCCTCAGCCTCAGCCTGCCTCAGCCTCAGCCTCAGCCTCAGCCTGCCTCAGCCTCAGCCTCAGCCTGCTTCAGCCTCAGCCTCAGTCTGCCTTCAGCCTCGGCCTCAGCCTCAGCCTGCCTCAGCCTCAGCCTGCATCAGCCTCAGCCTCAGCCTCAGCCTCAGCATCAGCCTCAGCCTCAGCCTCAGCCTCAGCCTGCCTCAGCCTCAGCCAGCCTGCTTCAGCCTCAGCCTCAGTCTGCCTTCAGCCTCGGCCTCAGCCTCAGCCTGCCTCAGCCTCAGCCTGCATCAGCCTCAGCCTCAGCCTCAGCCTGCCTCAGCATCAGCCTGCCTCAGCCTCAGCCTCAGCCTGCCTCAGCCTCAGCCTCAGCCTGCTTCAGCCTCAGCCTCAGTCTGCCTTCAGCCTCGGCCTCAGCCTCAGCCTGCCTCAGCCTCAGCCTGCATCAGCCTCAGCTCAGCCTCAGCCTGCCTCAGCATCAGCCTGCCTCAGCCTCAGCCTCAGCCTGCCTCAGCCTCAGCCTCAGCCTGCTTCAGCCTCAGCCTCAGTCGGCCTTCAGCCTCGGCCTCAGCCTCAGCCTGCCTCAGCCTCAGCCTGCCTCAGCCTCAGCATCAGCCTGCCTCAGCATTCAAAATGTGGCCCGGGAATTGAATTCTGGGAACTCGAAGAACACGAAGTGGCCTACAGCTGGCCCCGGGCATTCAAAATCATGCCCAGGAATGAGTTCTGGGAACTCGAAGACCACGAAGTGGCCTACAGTTGGCTCCGGGCATTCAAAATGTGGCCCGGGAATGGAGTTCTGGGAACTCGAAGAGCACGAAGTGGCCTACAGTTGGCTCCGGGCATTCAAAATGTGGCCCGGGAATGGAGTTCTGGGAAACTCGAAGAGCACGAAGTGGCCTACAGTTGGCTCCGGGCATTCAAAATGTGGCCCGGGAATGGAGTTCTGGGAAGTCGAAGAGCACGAAGTGGCCTACAGTTGGCTCCGGGCATCCAAAATGTGGCCCGGGAATGGAGTTCTGGGAAGTCGAAGAGCACGAAGTGGCCTACAGTTGGCTCCGGGCATTCAAAATGTGGCCCGGGAATGGAGTTCTGGGAGGTCGAAGAGCACGAAGTGTGTGACTGTTTGCTTAAAACGAGCCCGGCCCTGAGCCCGGCCCTCGCTGTCCGGATGCCGCCCAGACCTCCCTTCTGAGTCATCAGATGCTTTCTTTTGACACCACTAGAAACCTATCAGTCTTCGCTGTTAGGTAAAAATGGTATGCTACTGCGAGTGGCTGTACTCTCGAGCAGCATCCTTCCAAAGTTCTGGTTTGATCTCCAGTATGTCACTCCACTGCAACCCGCTCTGATTGCAGGTGGCTAAGGCGTGCTTGAAATTTTCTCTGGTCCATGCACAACGCGGTCTGCCTCTCCTCCGCTTCTGGGGAGGGGGGTTCGGGATAACGGAAAATGGTTGAACAACTGCTCTGCGAATTGGGTGATCGCTGCTTCTGCGTGCAATTTCAGCAAAAAGAACAAGCTGCCGCTGCAACAAAAGGCTGTTCAATTTTACGCACCGTGCCTGTTCGAGAACATCTGCGTTGGAGACGCGGCCGATGCACGAGTGCTCTATGTATGCCCAGGATCTTCCGCACGCACCGGGCTTGGAATCCGTCAAGACGGGCGCGTTCGGCGTTTCTCAGCCAAGCCGTGTGTATGCTGCACAGCAACTTGCTAAGGACGCACGCCTCAAATATGCGAAGCTTCCAGGGCACAGATATTACAGCATGGGACCACATGCGCGCCAGGGTCTCGAATTCCGCCCTCGCCGCGCCGATGCGCCTCTCAGCTCGGCTTGCATGCCGCCGTCCGCAGGGACCACGGCTCCGAGGTACACAGTGCTGTCTTTCGGGGCGACGGGCTTCCCGTCGGGCTGCAGTATGTTTCGAGGCCCGAAAACCATGGCCCCAGGGGCCCCACGTTAGTGAAGTGATGCTTTTTTCCCGCGCAAGGACCCCGAAATCCATCACCTCACCAAACCGAACCCAGGACGAAAGTCAGGGGCCGAACTGCTGCTGTGAAGCAACATAGGTCTCGTATATGTTGGCCGCGGGCTCCCTGTCTGGGGGTGATGACTAGGGGGGGGCGGATATCATGGCGGGGGTCATGATGTTTCCCCAGATTTCATGGCGCCTCTTTTTATTTCATTACGTCCATGGCCCCCCCGCTGGGCCGCGCACATGCCGCCGGTCATGATTTGCACCCCCCCTCTTGGACACCCCCCTCTTGGCCGCTCCCGACTGACACGTCGATTAGTGAATTGTCCGTTTTCGGTTCTCGAGAGGGCGCCGCGGCCGCTATTTTCCAGGCTTGCGCCCGCCAGGTTTGAGCCCGAAGTCGTCTTCACTGAACCACGTTTTACTAAAGGGAGGTCTGTCCATCCCCGAGGCTTCCAATTTCTTCCAATTCTATTTGAGCCCGTACTTCGCCCCGGCCTTCTCTGTTGACTGCATGCACATCGCTGCCCGATCCGCATACGCAGCCAGGATGAGCGCGTCGTCCGCGTGAGTGAGCTCTTCCACTTCTGCCACGTCCTGGCCAATCGCGGCCCTTGCGTCCGATACAGTCGGGGCGCTAAAGAAGGAACCCTTTTCGTTGGGGAGGGGCTCGGTGTTCCTTGACTGTTTCAAAGTTTGCCTCGGGTTTTCCTGAGGTTTCCATGGGAAATCGAGGTTGAACTTATGGGAAAAAGGGGCCTTGTTCCTTATTTTGGGTTCCTTAGGTCAACGCCTCGACTGTATCAGTACTGTCATGACCATGGCGAACAGGAAGGGCGAGAGAGGGCACCCCTGGCAAATGCCAGCGCGCTGCGGCCGTGAGTCAGAAGTGGCGCCGGCCTCCCTGACTGCGAACCGCCTGTTGGAGTAGATCGCATCGATGGCTGCCAGCATAGGCCGTGGCAGGCCGAAACGCCCGAGCGCCTGCAGGAGTGCGTCTGGCGCCACGCTGTCAAAAGCTTTCGCCCAGTTCAAAGACAAGACCACGGTCTGCCCATCCCTGGCCTCCCATGACTCCTCGATGCGCCGGCGAGCCAGGAAGATGGCGTCGGCCGTGCCGCGCTTTGATTTGAAGCCGAACTGCATGTGCCAGATGCGGTCTTCTGCGCCTGCTTGCTTCAGCCTTTGCAGTCGAATAGACGCATCGAGCTTGTAGCCCGCTTGAAGCAAGCAGACTGGCCGGTAATTCTCGCATTTGGACTCGTCGCCTTTTTTGAAGATAGCTGTGACGAGAGACTCGTGCCACGTCTCTGGCACAACCCCATCGGCCCAGCACCTCTGGCAGAGAACAGCTGCCCACTTGCACGCGGGTGAAGCGCACGTGCAGACCGCTCTCCCAAGGTCTCCGGGGGACGCCGCCGGACCCGCACGCTTTGCCCCATTTCATGTTCCGGGCTGCGGAGCTCACTTCCTCGTCCGCGACAGGTCCAAGGTCGACCTGGACCTGGAGGTCTTGCCCCAGCGATGTAGTATCCATTGCTGCAGTGTTCCTCACAGCCCACTGCACCTTCTCGAAGTAGTCAGCCGTAGTCTCCGCGCGGTCGCTGGAGTCCACGACGCAGCCAGCTGAATCGCGCAACCAGCCCTGCCTACGAGGGCGGCCCCCTCCGAAGACGTCGAACTTCTGTCCAATCTCCTGAAGCCAGCATGCCGTTGAGCCACTCGTTCTTGTCGATTGCCACTGAGTCTTTGACCTCGCGGTGAAGCATTTTCTCAGACGCCGCGTCGCCTTGCCTTCTCGCCGCAGCCAGGACGTCAATAATACGCAGCGTTCGGCTCGAAATCCACGGCCGGAGCGGCTTCGCCCGAAGCGCTGGCAATGCATCGGCGGCTGCCGCGTGGAATGCCTTCGACATGCTCTGCTCAATGTCGTCCACCGTTGCCGTCGTCGCGCCCAGCCCCTCCAGATGATTTGAGAAAGCCGCTGCAAGCCGAGCTGCCACTCCAGGTGTTCGAACAGACTGCAGATCGAGCGGCCGGGGGCCGCTGTGGCCGTTCTCTTTCGGCACCTCCATGTCGAGGTCCGCGTAGACGAGGAAGTGGTGCGAGGCCAGTGCACATGAACGGTCGCTGCAAGCGCGTCGAAGCAGATGTAACCAAGCTTGGGACATCAGCACAAAATCAATCTGTCCGAAGATATCATGAGTTACAGGGTCGCCTGGTGACTTCCCGATGCCGTTACGCGCGACCTGGTGCTCAGCCAGCGCGTCGAAAAAAGGTGGTGCCGATTGCCAGTTTCGCTTTCGTGCACAGCTCTGTCAGAAGACTCTTGTTTGAGACAGCATTGTGCGCCGCCCCTGGGTTGCCAAACATGCGCGGCCCAATGATCTTCTCCCTGTTAGGGGAACTACGGCGCAGCCTGGCGTTGAAGTCGCCAAGTACAAGCAGGGGGCCATGGCGAGAGATTTTGCCAAGAAATCCGCCGAGCTCGCTGTAGAAGCGTTGCCGGTCAGCTGCAGGCGTTCCATTGTGAGGCGCATAAACGCTGCAGATTGCGGTCTTGCCGCCCACCACGCGGACTTTTTGACAAACCATCCGGGAAGCTTCCTGAGGAAAGCTGATCACGTTTCTTCGGAGGTGGGGGGCAACCACGAATCCAACACCTGCTGTTTCATTGTCGTCCGCGTCCGCATTGCCAGACAAAATGAATAAGAAACCAGACTCAGTTGAGTAATGCTCTGAACCAGTAGGGCCGACTGCAGGTGAAACATACTCTCCTCTGCTGTTCCGCATTATCTTAAAACGTTGGTTAATTTGAGGGAGTTTCTGTGGAACTCACGTCATCCTCACCCCCGGCGCGAAGAGCACGAGCCCAGAGCGGCCTCCGGCACCGTTTCCGGACGGATCCGCTGGATCCGCTGGATCCGCTGGATCCGCTGGATCCGGTGACGAATCCCAAACCGGCGCCCTCGCCTGAGACATCCTCACAAAACGGGCCCCGGGGGGGATGCCCAGAGGAGCCCAGAGCGGCCTCCGGCACCGTTTCCGGACGGATCCGCTGGATCCGCTGGATCCGCTGGATCCGGTGACGAATCCCAAACCGGCGCCCTCGCCTGAGACATCCTCACAAAACGGGCCCCGGGGGGGATGCCCAGAGGAGCCCAGAGCGGCCTCCGGCACCGTTTCCGGACGGATCCGGATCCGCTGGATCCGCTGGATCCGGTGACGAATCCCAAACCGGCGCCCTCGCCTGAGACATCCTCACAAAACGGGCCCCGGGGGGGATGCCCAGAGGAGCCCAGAGCGGCCTCCGGCACCGTTTCCGGACGGATCCGCTGGATCCGCTGGATCCGGTGACGAATCCCAAACCGGCGCCCTCGCCTGAGACATCCTCACAAAACGGGCCCCGGGGGGGATGCCCAGAGGAGCCCAGAGCGGCCTCCGGCACCGTTTCCGGGACGGATCCGCTGGATCCGCTGGATCCGGTGACGAATCCCAAACCGGCGCCCTCGCCTGAGACATCCTCACAAAACGGGCCCCGGGGGGGATGCCCAGAGGAGCCCAGAGCGGCCTCCGGCACCGTTTCCGGACGGACGGATCCGCTGGATCCGCTGGATCCGGTGACGAATCCCAAACCGGCGCCCTCGCCTGAGACATCCTCACAAAACGGGCCCCGGGGGGGATGCCCAGAGGAGCCCAGAGCGGCCTCCGGCACCGTTTCCGCGGATCCGCTGGATCCGCTGGATCCGGTGACGAATCCCAAACCGGCGCCCTCGCCTGAGACATCCTCACAAAACGGGCCCCGGGGGGGATGCCCAGAGGAGCCCAGAGCGGCCTCCGGCACCGTTTCCGGACGGATCCGCTGGATCCGCTGGATCCGGTGACGAATCCCAAACCGGCGCCCTCGCCTGAGACATCCTCACAAAACGGGCCCCGGGGGGGATGCCCAGAGGAGCCCAGAGCGGCCTCCGGCACCGTTTCCGGACGGACGACCTGACTGCATAACACGCCTGGATATGCCGACGGGGGCGCAGGAGGAGGAGGAGGAGGAGGAGGAGGAGGAGGAGGAGGAGGAGGAGGGGGAGGGGGCAGGCGAGGGAGCCCCGGCCCTGGGGGAGGGGCCCTGAGGGAGCCCTGATGGGCTTCCGGCACCATGGAGAGGTCCTGTGGGGCGGCCGCCCCTTCTTCTCTCGGTCGTTTCCCTCTCGCCCAGAAGCGCGCGCCCCTTCTTCTATATATACAGAAACTCCCGATCAACCGCAGAGCGGCGGATGTTAAGTGCAGTAGTGCCGACTGCTGATGAAACTGTGCTTATGCGCGCTGCCTCCTAATGGTTGGGGCGGCCCTTGGCGACCCCTTTGGCCCCTCCCTTTTTGCTTGCAGAAGCCTTCGCAATCAGCTCGTTGGACTTGCTCCGGAGTTCGACGATCTGCGGGTGGTTATGGGGGTCGCGCTAGGTTGCCCACTCCCCCTGCCAGTCGAACTCCTACCGCGTTGTCCGAGACTCGAGCTGTCATCGCGCGCTCACCGCCGACTGTGACCACATAGGGCGATTCATCTGCGATGGCGATGGCGCGTGGGATCTCTCACTCGCGTTTGAGAATGGGCTTTAGGCCGAAGCGGAAGTTCCGGGCAGCGCGTTCGGCGGGGGGGCGGCCCTGGTTGGCCCACACTTGCTTGGCTCCGCTCTTTAGTCCGGCACGCCGTAGAAGTTCCACCGAGAGGTCACGAGCTCCAGGGTCCAAGATCTCGGCAATAATGATCCCGCTGAAATCCCTTTCGGAGTAGATTTCGGAAGGGCTGGGACCACCCATGGAAGCCATCTTGTCTTGCAGCCGAGTCGTTGCCGCAACTGGATCGGAGAGGCCATCCAAGTTACCGATGTCTGCTATGACCATGCGCTCGTCGGTGTAGGTGCCCTCCTTTCCGAGATGAGTCGGCTGAGCTGCGCGCGCCTGCTCCTGGCGCGGACCTTGGCCTCCAGAGCGTCGTTGCCGAGGATAGTGTTCCCGCCGATTCCCTCGCACATGTGCTCCAGCTCCTCCACCCGCGCATCTGTCATGCTCGTGTGCTTCTCGAGCGCGTCCAGCCTCTCCGATAGGGTAGTGTTCAAGTCCGTCAGGTCGCCATCCATTCTCGCAATTTCCTTTTGCGTGTTTTCCGACCGCGGAAGTCACTGGTGAAAGTTGCAGATAGAGCTGCTCCTGCCATAGGGCAGCAATGCCAGCCATCGCGACCTGCTCAACCGCATCGCCTTTGCTCCATCTTCGAAGTCCGGCTGCCGAACGGGGGGGCGCGACCGGCAATTCGCCCGCGTCTCCGTCCATCGGGATGTAGCCCAAGGGCGGTTCTTCGAGTGGAGAGCCAGATCCACGCCCTGTCCCCGGCTTCTCATCCCCGTGAATTTGTTCCCGCAGGTTCCCGGGGATGCCGCTGGTAGGGGTGCCTGTCATGCGGGCGCGACGAGCGGTGGGCGCAGGAGAAGACATCGCGTCTCCAGAAGGAGCCTTCAAGAGGTACGAGGTGCGAGGTAGATGCGAGCTCGGCGATCGACGATCGCGAAGAAATTCACGTCGCCAATCTGGGACTTATTGAATCGCTTCGCTCATTCCGCCGGCCCGTGATATGGCATCGCTGGTTTTTGTCTGTGTGTTCGT